TTGAAGAACTGTACATAGTATATAAGTAACAAAATTCAGAACAAGAATGCTCAAAGGAGAGTCCAACTTGATGATTTTGCTTTTATTTGCTTAACTCTTAATGCAGTACTGTAATGTATAACAAAACAAAACTACAGTCATATACGATATGGCCAATCAGCAAAAATCAGAATGCTGCAAAAGGAAGGTGCGCTGCACAAAAAAAGACACTGAGGGTCTGGAAACAAGACATACAGAACTCTACCAAAAAAAGATGGGTCGTAAGTCCAAAACAGTCATTATACAGATGGGTCATTAAATGAGCATTATCAGCACCGCCACGGTGGGTGTGGCGATTCACCCCTCCGCGGCCAGGTACTGCAGTTCAGAGTGTGAGGTGCGAGCTATCTGTTATTCATCACATGGTCCGGGTTTCAGCTGGGCCGATGCAGGGGCAGCTGTGTTTTGGACGCTGATGAATTGAGAATTTAAAAAGAAAGGGCAAAGGTTGTCCTTCATCACACGCAGCTCGAGAAGCACTGGCGCCCAGAAGTTCCGGCTCTTCCCTTTCTTTGCTGACCTTCAGAGATGTCATTTTTGCCTTTCTGGAGGGTGTGCAGGGGTCTGGCATTGTGATTTGTATTTTGCTAATGACTTTGCTTATGTTTTGCTAAGGTTGGACACTGTCTCATATATGCACGTTCGCCATCTGAATGGCCTTCACTCTGTGTGAAATATTTTGAACATTTTCATTGTGGGTGTTTTAACTTTTCCAAGAATATTTTCTTTGGACCCTCTTTTAGCTGTGTCCCAGCTCATCTCCAGAAGGAAGATCCTGGAGAAATGTAGTGAGGGGGAACACTCTGATTCAGAAGTGAGATTCGCTAAGTTGACTCCCCTAGATCGCACTGATGTGGTCACAATGTTCTGAATCCTCAAGGGGGTGAAGTCAGACCTAGTGACAGCTCTGGGTGGTGACAAAAACCACGGAGAGAGTAGGATAGTGGGAGGGGAGGACACTTTGGCTAGCATGTTAAACAGTTTCTTATCCTAAAGAAATTATATTTTCCCTACATCGGAATAAGGGGGGAAGCAGCTGTACAGCAGTCCCTGGGCGGGGGGCGTTGTAGGAGGAGAGAATGTGAGGTTGGTCTGAGTACTGGAGGGAGCTCTCTTTTTTGGTCAAACTTGAAGCCTGGCACTGGGCATGCTGGAGTTGCAGCTCTCAGGTGCCCTGGGCTGACCCAGGTTCTTGGAGCTGCCTTGCACCAGTGGCCTGAAGTCATGCAGCAGCCGAGGGGGTTGCACCTGCCACTTGCTGCCTGCAGCCCTCATCCATCAGGTGAAGGGTGTGGGATTAGGAAGCCCGGGCTCCCAGCAGCTCCACATGGCTGCAGTGGAGCTGGCTGCAGCCAAGACCACTGGGCAGCGCACTGCGGGTTGTGCATTAGTTCTTTCTGGGAGCCCATCTTTCATCCATCAGGTGCCTCTGCTTTTAGGGAAGCACCTAAGACACACGATGCAGGTGTGCATGTGTGTGTGTATAACCCAAGGCCTTGAGCATGCTAGGCAACTGTTCAACCACTGAGCTACACTTCCAGCCCCCAATATATTTTCTTTTTCTCTTCTGTGTTTTCCTATGCTACCAGCAGACATTCAGATGGCGAACATGCATATATGAGACAGTGCCCAACCTTAGCAAAACATAAGCAAAGTCAGGAACAAGTGCTTTGAAGCCAGGCAAAATCTCATATAACCACCTTTGAGTTGGTAACCTGTTCTTTCTGGGCCTTCATATCCTTGTTACAAAAGTGGGACAAAAATAGTGGCACTGGTTAAGGCTGCTATGACTATTAAATGATAGAATATGGGCTTTCCAGAGATGGGCTAGCAGGCAGTGCACGCCTTCAGCCACAGTTTTGCTGTGATTACAAAACCTCTCTAAAGGACACCAGACTCCATAAAATAAATGTTGCAAGCCATGAGTTATACTCTGTTGTGCTTGGTGTCATGAGCTGGGACCAAGAGGTGGAAGAAACATGAGCTGCTCAGAGGACCTCTGAGGTACTGTTCATGTGCAAACTCTCATTTGGTCCTGCTAGACACCCTGCAAGAATGGGGGTACACTGGGATTATCAAAGACAGGAAGCTAATACTCAAAAGGGCTGAGTTGCCTGAGGAGACACTGTACACGGCTTGCTTCAGGGTGGGGCTCCAACCTCACAGCTAGGTTCCTTCTGCAGAAGGGGCTGGGGTCACCATCATTCAGGGGCACCTCAGGTCTAGCTGCAGGGACTCCTTCCTGTCACGCTGCGCCACTGGCCATGAGGCTTGCTCCTGGGACTGCACCTCTCTCTGGGATGGTGCAACTTCTAGTCTCCAGGCCAGCACACACCACGCCTCCCAGCAGCTACCCTCCTTCACCAGGAACTGCCTGCTAGGTCCTTCTTGAACCCTCCTCCCCAGGATGCATTGCAAGCAGTGATGGGTGGAGTCTCAGAGGACCCAGAGGCTACTGGGTGAGTGACCATAGACCTGGAAGACGGCATCTGGAAGTGTCCTGACCCTGTCCCATGAGGCACTCAGGGCCAGAGCATCTGGGAACTGGACATTCCAGGACCCAGCTCTGAGGGCAGGTCCTGTCTTTCTCAGAGTCCCATGTTCCTACCAACGAGAGATGGTAGATAGGACCTAACCTGGACCTCAGCAGTGATAAAACAGCTTCACAGACACAATTCCACCAGAAGCCAAGATACAGTTCCCAACATGCAAAGAAGAATTTCAGGACCTAGGGCAATAGGGGCTTGTTTACTTACAGGGAGTTATCTGTTCATCCTCTTGTTTTTTCCCAGGACTGGTTTCTGAGAAATATGGGAAGACTTCAAGGTTCCAGGCCAGGTCCCCAGCCCTTCACCCTGGGAGCAGCCTCAGGCCAGGGGTCCTGATAGGGCTGGTGGGTCTGCTATTGGCAACACCCATGCTGTGCACCTTGGAAGGAAGGGTATGGGGTGCAGGCCAGTGGAGCAGGATGGCCCTATGATGGGATCTTGAGGTAGGTGAGGCAGGGAGAGGTGGAGCCAGGCTGGGTGGAGTTAGGGTTAGGGTCAGGGTTAGGGTCAGGAGTTGGATGCTAACTGAGGTCAGGTGCTGGTGTAAGACAGGGCCAGGGCTGGGGGCTGCAGGTTGAGTGTAGCAGGCATGGTGTGCTATGTGCAGTGGGGGTCCTGGTGCAGGGTAGGAGGAGGAGTGTGACCGCTTTGTGAGGCCACCCCAGGCTTGATGACCCCCCGGCAAGGCGAGCTGTAGATGCCCTAAAGAGAAGTCAGTTATTTTGTTTTATTTTTAAACTCCTCTGGGCTTTCCCTTCTTCCACATGAGCAACTGCAGTCTCATTGATTTGCTGTGGATGCAGTTTTTCTTTTAGTGAGCATGCACCGCTTGGGAGCCAGTTCAGACCTGCGGGTGTCCTGACCTTGCACCCACTCGGGCCCTGTGTGAAGAGCAGACCCGAGCTCAGAAATGGTGCACCAGGCCGGGCAGGCTTCTTGCAGAGTAGCCTCAGATTCTTGGTCCGGGACACAAACACCAACAGGACTTTTAGTGGTGGCACTACTGGGTGGTGCAGCCAGCGCTATGCTGGCACTGAGAGCAACCGCCCCGGCCTGCAGTGCCCACGAGCCTGCGGGGTTGGCGCAGCAGCTGGAGACCCCTGGGGTGGCCTCCGGAAAGCAGGTGCCTTTGACTGAGGCCTGGAAAAATGCAAAGCTTTTACGAAACAAAATATTTCTTTTGTCAAGGACCCCCCCCCACCCCCCATAGCTTTACAACCACAAGAGGCTCTGGATCCCCTGCCCCCCACACTCTGGTTCAGCATTTAGCAGCAGTCTGTTGTGAGTGTAATAAAAGAATCTCAGAAAATTTTAGGTCAGGAGAAAGTGCGCACACAGCTGGCGCCTCCACACACTGCTTCAAATGTCCTGCAATCCGAGAGGACTGGGCAGCAAAATGAAAACCAGTGTGGCACAGGGCTGGGGTCAATAGCTGGGGCTGAAAAGTGAGAGTTTAGGTCACATTTTGTGGCTGATTCTACTGGGTGGAGCAGTGCAGATGACTATCACATGTGCATTTTAAAGTTGAACTCCCTATGCAGCAGACTTTCGGCAATGTGTTTCCAGAGAAGCATGTAGATTTTAGTGTTAATAATAATTCATAATAATAAAGTGTTTGCTAAACTCACCTCGGAGAGCATTATCAAAGATATAATTAGCCCATGACCTGTGTTTGGCCCTGGGCACTTCTACTGGTTTTCTAAGGTACCTGAAGACCTTTGCAAATGAAAGTCTTCAAATAAAATCTACTAGCATCTGTTTATAAAGATGATTTCATTCATTTGTGAGTTATCATAGCACAGAGCAGATTAATTGCTCATACCAAAACCAGTCACTTCTGTTTTGCAGGAATTAGGAAAGAAAATGCAGATTTATTAAATCCACACCGAAGTTTAGAAGTTCAGGGTAATTTGTCTTGGGAGCAAAGTCTTTGCCAGAGCTAGAGGCATTCAAAGGAACTCCTGGTGTTAATGAGATTATTAAAGATATACCTGAGACCAGATAAATATTTGATGATTTTGCAAAGCCCTGGGATTTCTTTCAGTTTTTCTTCTGCTGACATTTCCCCCCATGGGGTCTAGACCTCGTGGTTTTCATTAGACTGCGCTGATGAAGGGAGGTAGGGATTTCCCTGGAGTGCGCGGGGCGGGGAAGTTGGAGGTTTGCAGCCAGGGAGCGCGCGCGCGTCCCCGCCTGGTTGGTTTGGGGGAGGGGGAGGGCGGCGCAGGGGAGGGGAGACAAGGGGGCGGCGAAGCTGCCACCTAGCGGCGACTTCCTGCAGTGTATATAACGCGAGTTTGCAGCCCCGGAGTTCAGTTGCTCCAAACCGCTCTGGGCTAAGGGAACCCAGCTGGGAAGGCGAGCTGCAGCCGCCGTCAGCCCAGGTAAGGCCGGTGCTCGGGCTGCAGCTCCGCGGAGCAGGGAAGAGCGGCGGGCAGGGCTGTGGCTCGGGCTTCAGCCCCGTGGGCTTTTCCCCAGCTCTCCTCCCGGAGCGCTCAGACGGGTGCGTGACAGAGCCCGTGTGGTGCATCGCCCACCGCTGCAGAACGCTTTGCGGCTTCGCGGGCTTGGGCTCCCGCTGAGGAAAGCAAAGGCAAAGTTTTCTCAAGTCACTCTCAGAGGGCGGTTGCTACGTGACCCGCTGGATTTAGCAGCCTGGTGTGTATTCACTGCGGGGGACCCGGGTTGTCTCTAAAGTAGGGCAACTTTGCAAGAACTTACGTGGTCTGGCTGTCGTGATTGCCCAAAATTGGCATAGAGTCGAGCGCGGCGCTGCTGTTGACCAGCGCCGCTATTGATGTACCATTTGGGAAATCCATAGAATTAACTGTAGGTGCGATTCCAGAGGCGTCTTTAAGTGAACCAGAAAACCAGACGGCGGAGACTCTTTTGAGAATCCAGAATGCCAGAGCCTGTAGCAGGGAGGCTGTAATGCGAATGTTAGGCAGCCCTAGCCTTGGTCCCCTGATGGCATCCTCCTTAATCTGAGTATTTATTGATCTCTTAGCAAGCATTAGGTTCCACTTCTGGTGGTGGTGGGGAAAACACACTCTAGTATTTGAAATCTGAATGTGCTTAAGTATTTGGATCAGGTAAAATCAGAATTGTGTTCAGTTTAGGTAGCACCAGGAAACTCAAAGGGTTACTGAGAGTGAGGAGTGAGGTCAGGGGTGGGTAGGGGGTTTGCCAAGGCGTGTCACTTCCAGGGAGAATGAGAAGTTGTAAAAGTCAGACTGGCTGGCTCTCCCCTCTCTGGCTCTCCTCTCTCTTTCCCTTGTTCCTTTCCTGTCTCCTCTCCTCTCCTCTCCTCTCCTCTCCTCTCCTCTCCTCTCCTCTCCTCTCCTCTCCTCTCTCCTTCTGCTCACAGCACCATTAGATTTCCTGAAATGGGAACAGAGTGTCCTCCTGGCATGGTTTATAGCCCTTTGAAGGTAGCTGGGCCTGTGTCATCCTCTGAAACTCCAGTCTGCAAAGCTGCAGAGTGGCGACTTTCTTCTTTTCTCTGAAAACACAGATGCCGCCTTTGTGTCCCTTTATTCAGTCCCGGGAAAAGTGGAGTAAGCCTAGAAAGACGAGCAAGGCTGCTGGGTCCTGTGCCTGGCTTTTCTGTGGGTTTTAAATGGATGAAGAGCCGGCGGTTGGGCTCCCTCCCACCAGAACGCGAGCTCGGCTTGGATGCAAAGCTTTGCTCCAGTGCCTAGTGGCTGTTGGGGACTCAGCTTGGAACAATTTGCACTTTCCCGTCTGTGCCATAAACATTTGGGTGTGCACGGCATGGCTGGGCTCAGCCACAGCCTTGGGGAGCCAGGCAGGGAGGGAGGGTGCAGCCAAGGGAGGACCCAGAGACTGAGGACCACTGTGTGCCGCTGCCCATCAGAGTGTTTTTTTTTTTAAAGGGGCAAGGATTGCAGTCATCATTTTTCAAAACTTCCAAAAACTTTAAGTATTTGCTTAACTGAATGAGGGCTTTGGAAGTGCGTTTATCACATCCAAACAGCAAGTCCTTGGAGAGTTGGGAGGGTATTATGATTTCTAATCAGGTTCAGAATAGGCCAAGTGTAGGCTTTCTGGATGAAAGGAAAACACACACACACACACACACACACACGCATGCACACGCACACGCACGCACGCGCGTGCACACACGCACACACAAAACTCTACTTAATTAGAACAGTGGCTTTTTGTGTGATCGGTTAGGCAGAGAGCTCCTATTTTGAAGTCGACGTGAGGGAAGTTGGTGGAAGTTATTCAAACTGGAGGCTCTTGGACCATCACTTTGTAACCCTTAAAAGCAATTGAAGAGAAGAAAAAGACCTAGAAGACCTCAGATCCTAGGGGTTTTTAAGCAAAGGTTTTACAGAACATGAATGGAGTTTGGAGCCTGAAGATATTTTGTGCTTTTAAATGAGGCAACTGAGGTACTTAGTTTTACTTGTAAGAACAGGAGTAGTATCAGGATGCTTCTAGTTGGATTATGTATGTGCAGGAATAATTTAGAAAGAAACCACAGACAGTCTTGTGGCAAGTGTTTTAAAAGTCCGCAAAAGAAAAGCGCACTGGTATTTACTCTCATGAACCTAAGCAGCCAGAAGAAAAAAAGCACGGGGCTGGGAGGTGTGTCCCTGATTTTCAATGCTTCATGCTTTTCTGCAGGGAGTATTTGATGCTTTTGTGACTACTACTGATTTGGGATGGCGGGGGGGGGGGAGACACCTAAACCAACCACTGTTGCTTGGTTATCAAAGTTGTCCAGGGATGGCATAATTTCACGGTGACAGTGCTGTGGGGTCACCAGTAGGTCTGCAAGGGTGGACGGAATTGCGTCTATCTTAGGTGGCCTTGGACCACTTGTTGGGTGAAGGCACAGATAAGGAGCCCTGGGCAGGATGGGGGATTGCGATTTGAAGCTGTGTCAGCCAGAGAGCTTGTGCCTCCTTCTTGTCCTGGAGAACCTGGGGGATGTGGTGAGGGCGCCCCTTGGTTTTGTGGTAGGAGCCTTGTTCTGCCAGCCCGGTTGTGGAACCACGTTGTGTCTGGCTAAGCACAGATGTGAAGCGCTCTCCTCTCTGTGACCTCCTCTTGCCTCTCATCCTGGCCCTGAGCTGGGTGGGAACTGAGGCCAAGGCTCTGATTCCGCCAGGCCACCCCGACAGCCGCCTTTGTGACGTGGTGCCCTGGATCCGCTCTGCTGGGTACTGCCTTGTTCCTTAGGGTAGCTGAGCACAATGGACCAGATCGGGTTTCTGGATATGCCTCTCTTTATCCCCTGTCGCCCTGTCCAGGGGCCGTGGGAATAGGTGGCTTAGTTCACAATCAGGGTGTGCATTTTTTCCTTTATATGTACTTATAATTTTGCAAGTTGCACAGAATTCGAAAGCGTCCATAACATGCACAAGATAAGATTGTATTGTTTTCCTTTCACCTGGTGCGCTGGGGGGGGGGGGGGACAGGCAGTTTCCTTTTCCACTGTCAAGCGTCACGGGTGGCTGCAGAGAGCCTGCCTGGTGTAGGGTGTATGTCCCCTGGGCTCCTCACCCAGCCTGGCTGGGTGGGTTTGAAGTGCACTGAATACAGGAAGTGGTTAAACAACAAACAAATAACAAAAACCTCCACAATGAGCAGTCCCTTGTGGATCTGTAGAGGTGTGTGGATGGGTAGTCCTGTCTCAACTGTCAAAAAGGAACCAGAGTATGGTGCATTGCAAGCCAAGGTCTCTGAAGCTGAAGGTGCAGAGACTCTGTCCAGTCTCTGAGCCTGACCTGTCCTGCCTCAGCTTCTAGGTGCGCAGCAGTGAGAGTGGCTAAGCAGGGTCTGGGGGAAGCCCTGAATGCCTCCAGGAAGTCCCGCTGTGGGCCACGGGTCACAAGTGGCAGAAGCTGCTAAAGGAAGCCAGGTCCAGACCGGCAACAGGGCCAGTGGCCCCTGGCTTCAGAGCTGGGTCCAGGGACTGGTCTATGTTATCTTATCTGCATTCTGGAGCCACAGTCAGCCCTCCCTCCAAGGGTCTGCAGCAGCTGCTGTGCACCAGCCTGGAGCCCCTGGCCAGGCCTTCTAGGTGCATGTGTCATCTCTGTCCTGGAGTGTGCCCTCTGCCCCAGAGCTAAGGCCTTGCTCCACCCCCATAGCTCCTGCACAGACAGGCCCAGGCCTGACCCCTTGTTCCTCGAGCTCTCTGTGGGGTCTTTTTCTCAGTGGGGCTGGGTGGCTTTCTTCAAAGGGAGCACCTTCCTGAAACATCCTTGGACATCACCTTCTCCTAGAATGTCCCCTGTGCCACCACAGTGGAAGTCCGTCCCATCCACCATCTTCAAGGCCTGTGCTTGGGGACAGGAGATGATCCTGCTGAGTGTTCTTACCTGAACCAGGGCAGGGACCCTAGGGAAGAGGCCCCCAAACACCAGCTGAGTGATTGAGGATCCCGAAGAGCCTCTTTGGGACTCCTACATCCTCTGTGGCCAGGGCCACTGGCCTTGGTGGATGTTGATTCATTCAGTTTCTCCTTTGTACCAGCTCAGTTTGCTGGTGTGATTTCCAAAGATGAGCGAGCGCTGTGTATGCTGGTCAGTGCCTGTAACCTCAGCTACTTGGGAGGCTGAGGCAGGTGGATCTTACATTTGAGACCAGCCTGGCTGCACTGTGAGATGCTCTCTCAAAATAAAATGAAAAACTGCAGTTTGTAGCTCAGTGGTAGAACGCTTGCCTAGCATGCGTGAGACTCTAGCTCCAGTCCCCAGCCCCACAACATAAATAGATAAATAAGCAAAGAAACAAAGAAATAAAAGAATGAATGAGACATCGGTAGTAGGAAGTGCTGGTTAAGTAGCAGCAGAGTGGAGAAGAGGAGAGAGAGAGAGTTACAGATGCCTACAGGGTGGGGATTTGGGGTCAGAGAGGAGGGGGGAAGGCCTGGCTATGGGGGAGGAGCCTTCCTTGCTGAGATGTGAAGTAGTGGCAGTATTGGGGACCATGAGCAGACACCTGAGCCTCTGGAGGACACAGAGATTGTGGGCTGAGCCTCAGGCCCATTGCACCCCTGAACTTGGAGATTTGTAATCCTGGCTCTGCTCCCCAGGCACTGGGTGAGCTCAGGAGGACCCTCCAGGTGCAGCTGAGTACCACAGGCTGCTGAGCCGCAGCTCTCTAAAGATGCTCAGCCTATAAATGGGGAGCCTCGGAATGGAGATGCATCTCCCAGAGAGCCCACCACCTGCCGGAGGGGCCCTGGCTCCATCTGGGATGGAGAGCAGCAGGAGAGGCCTTTCCCATACAGAGGCTGCAGGGAGGCTGGGTGGCTGCCTCAAGTACTGGCCATTGGTCACAGCAGATATGGGGTACTCTTCGGGAAGCCATGGATGGTGGGCATGGTGGTGCACATCTGTAACCTGCACTCTGGGAGCCTGAGGCAAGTGGATCACAAGTTCTAGCCCAACCTGGGCAAGCTAGCAATTTAGCGAGACCTTGTCTCAAAATAAGCAGTTTACAGAATTGCCAGGGAGGCAGTGCAGCGTGAAAACCCTGGTTCAACCCCCAGCAGTGCAACAACAGTAGGGGTGATGAAGCAAGCAGTCCTGGTGGACAGCAAATGAAGGAGCGAGGGAGACAAACTGGCCTCTGCTGCCTTGCGGTCTCCAAAAACTACAGCGGGAACCCTTACATCTGTGGGTCACTCACTGCTTTATAGTTGCATAACTCTTGATGTCAGACTCCAATTACTGCAGATGTCATTGGGTCAAAGCTACAGCCCTCCCTTTGTATTCTTTTGCAGTCAGTGTGGAGCTTTTTCCATGTCTCCATAGAAAACTACACATGGCTTTGCTGTTTACCCCATAATCAGTAGGCCACTCTGCATGTATCTGCGCAGCCCCATGCATTTCATCGTAGCATGTGCTAACTTTCCTTGTTCACAACTGATTCTCCCTCTCTCTTTACAGCTGTCTAATATTCCAGACAGTAGACACGCCCACCTTACCTTACAGAACCATTCTTCTGTCAGTGGGCATTTGTTGGTGATGACGATTTTTGAGTCCTAAATTCTGCTTCAGCAAACACATTGGGGCACGTGCAAATTCTAAAGGGGAAGTGTGTGACCTTGTAAAATCATGGAACAACAAAAATCCTTTCTTCCGAGCCCCTTTTGCTTTCCTCCAGAACCTTTTGCACAAAGGCCTCGAACCTTGAGTGGCTTCATCTCCCTGAACTGTAAGACTGGGTGCAGGTTTACATCCAAAATCTCTCTCAGGCTGTGGCCTAGAGCCCCCAGGGATGGAGCTATGGTGGATCCTAGCAGCAGGTGAGTGGATGTGGGCATCTCCTGGGGGGCATCAGCACAGACAGACCCGAGCACAGTCTGTACACGAGGAGAGGTGCATGGGGCTGACTGTGTGTGGCATGTGGGGAGCAGAGGGCCCAGGCCCCAAGTGGGCTGCAGGAAGTCAGTGGCTCCCAGCTCTCTCCCTGACTGCAGTCTCAGGTCGTACCGGGGGCTCGGCACAGGCTGTCCCCATTGTGGATGCCCCAGGTGCCCCGTTTGGTTAGGGGTGTTCTTTGCTCCAGTGGTGCACTGGGAACTGGAGCGGCTTGGGTGACGGCAGCTCCTGCCCACCCAGGCAGGCAGCGCGAGCACACAGCATGGGGCGCCTCCCATGTGAACCCTGGATTGTCGATCTGGTAATGCGCTCCTTTCTGGAAACAGCCCTGGCTTCTTTCCCCTCTCTTTAGTGCATGAAAAATACCCAGGTGTCCACTTGCCGTGCTTTCCTCCGCTGCCCACTGAGTGGACGATGTGGTCACTGTGCTCTGCTCGGTCTCCTTTCTCTCTGAGTGTCCCGTTCTTGTCTTCCCTTTGATGCCATCTGCAGTGTGGTCCACTTGGCCCCAGGGGAGGCTGGGGGCAGGGTGTGGCTTGTTAAATTCATCTCCTGGCCAGTCCTGGCCAGCATTGCCTGCTGCCTGGGCTGGTTGGTGGCTGAACTGCTGGACAAGAACCGGAATATGGGCACCAGGGCCACCCGGGGCCTCCCAGCCTCTGTCCTTCCCTGCTGCCTTGGGCAAGCAGCTGTACCCCTGCTGGGTATTTTTTAGGATCCTGCCCAGAAGAGCGAAGGGCATGGTGGTGGTGGGGACAGGTGCCTGTCTGCTTGTGATTTTGGGGACAGTAGTCAGGGAATCAAACATTCTTTGTCCAGAGTGCAGTGATAGAAGCCAAGGAGCTGAGTCGGGGTCCCCAACCCCTTCCTGGTCCCCACTGTGGCTCCAGGCTCTGAGGATGCAAGAGACTGGCAGCCTGTCGGCTAAGAGTCAGAGCTGGTTTCGTGGGGACAATGGGGAGACCTAGGATGCCTCACATCATAGGAGGCATCTGTTCATTCCGTGACCCTGCGTGGGGTTGTCCTTACTCCACTAGGGGACATGGTATGCCTGGGGCAAGGAGGCTGAGACAGCAGAGTGTGGGGAGACCAGTGGGGAGAATTTGAACCCATGTCTATTGAAAGCTCTGGCCAATTTCTAGCATTACAGCCTAGGATCTGTGCCCGTCTCTGTCCCTGTCACTGACCTCTGCTTCTGGGCTGTGGGACAGTGGCTTGATTCCCATTCAAGTGGTCCTGCCATCCAGTGGCTTTGGGTTTTCATGGGTCACAAGCAGAAAGCCTTGAATTCAGGCCACTTGGCAGTCAAGGGAGGGGGCAGTGGCAACTTCCAAGCGCCTGGCCAGTCAGGGAGGCATCCTGGACAGCCTGTTGGACCTGCATTTTTCAGAACCCTTAGAGCTGTGCGTTAGGCTGTGGCCAGTGTGCCCACCGCTCTTTTGCTCCCCTGGGACATTGGCTGAGGTCACACAGCTTGGTAGCTACAGGTTTGGAGTGCCCCTGCTGGGTGACTCTGCAGACACCCAGGTTGCCAGCTGCATGGCCAATGGTTCCACCACTGAGGGCTTATGGAGCCAGGAGGGGAAGTGGTTGTCATGAAAGGTTAGGACTTTTGTCAGCCCTAGCTGACACCAAAACCAGTCAGGGGACAGAAGAACCCCTCACCTGACATGCCATGGGGAGAGGGGGCAGATTCAGTCCACGATGTCCTCCCATGAGCACCCAGCCCCCTCTGTTGGGATCCTCGCCACCCAGCCAGTTTCCAACGTGGAAGAAATTCCAGAGAGTTGTGCTTTTTTCACTAAAAGGGGAAAATTTGATCACTGCTGGCTGGAGAATGCCCAGCCCTCTCTCTTCCTGGCCTAGAGCTGGGCCTCTGCTGTCTGCCCGCCACAGTCTGTGCCCTTTGTTCCCAAGGTTACCTGAGGGGTGCTGCCGACCCCGGGCAGCAGCCCCCTGCCGACCCCGGGCAGCAGCCCCCAGAGGTTGACCAGTTGATCTCACGTTAAACACTGAGGAGTTAGAACTCTGAGGTAGTGGTGTTCTGGCTGGCAAAGGCCGCTTTTCCTACTGTGGTTGGCATCATTGATGTGGCCTCCTGTGTCCACCCACAGACCCCCACAGTGTCCCACTGTGGAAAGAAGTGGGGCCATGAAGGGAGGCCAATCTTCATTTTGGTATCCACCGGGCCATGAAGGGAGATATGGTGAGGGGGTGACAGCTGATAGGCCTGCGGAGATTTTAGGGCCCTCTAGTGGACAAAGGGACTGTGGCCTGCAGGTTCTGGTGACCCCTGTGTGCCCCGCTGTGGAGAAACTGCTTATCCAATCCAGTGGCACCTGCGACTGAGTTCTCAGTGGCTGTGAACCAGTGGCAGTTGAGTGTGGCCCTACATCAGGTCTGCAGGGAAAACAGTGGACAGACTGTCTGCCCCCCGAAAATGCTGCAGGTAGTGGCTTCTGGGGTGTGAGTCTTGGTACCCAGGACTCCTGAATAGATAAAGGAATGGAAAGCCAGGTGAGGACCTGGAGTGGAGACAGCTGGCATGGGGGCTTCAGCTGAAAATCCCAGGCAGACCCTGAGTCTGCAGGTTTGGGGCACAGTTGGGGGGAGGGTGTTAAGTAAGCACTGGCCCTATCTCGAGGGTCTCTGTGACCACAAGTGGAAGGCAGCAAAGACTCAAGTGTGTGAATGAGTCCTGTGGAAAGGCAGAAGGCCCTGAGTCTGTCTTAAACGCAGATGTGAAGTGGGTTTCAGATGTTTTTGTTAAGACACTAAAGCGGGACACTTGTGCACATGCATGCCAGGAGCAGACCAGCACTTGCGGGCTTGGGGAGATTGGCAAAATGACACTGCTGGGACCTGCTGGGACCAGGTGGCCCATCAGCCTTGCTGTGGCCTGGGCTCTGCCGTCTGACATCTCTTTGGTCCCCGCACCATGTTGATTTCACTCCCTGGGCACAGCCGGGCTGGTGATGTGCTGAGAACACAGCCATGAAAAATACAGAAAGCAAACACCACTCCTCTGGGTGAGCACTGCGTGGGTCAGGCTGTGGGTGGGGTTTTTTTTGCGTTGTGTGGTTCTGTTACAGTTGTTTTCTTTTCCACTTTCTTTGGGAAGACACGCAGAGCTAAGGCGAAACAGCTGAGCCCCGACAGGGCCTTGGATGAGCGTTTGCACTGAAACTTGAGCTTCCCTAATGGAGTGCCTTTTCTCTTCCAGCTTTTCTGTTGGGTTTTGCTGTAGGTCATTCTGCTGCCCCTTCCGGACCATGGATCTGCATCTCTTTGACTACTCGGAGCCCGGGAACTACTCCGACATCAGCTGGCCATGCAACAGCAGCGACTGCATAGGGGTGGAAGCCGTGCAGTGCCCCAACATGCCCCACAAAAGCGTGCTGCTCTACACGCTCTCCTTCCTGTACATCTTCATTTTTGTCATCGGCATGATTGCCAACTCCGTGGTGGTCTGGGTGAACATCCAGGCCAAGACCACAGGCTATGACATGCACTGCTACATCCTGAACCTGGCCATTGCTGACCTGTGGGTCGTAATCACCATCCCGGTCTGGGTGGTCAGTCTCGTACAGCATAACCAGTGGCCCATGGGTGAGCTCACGTGCAAAGTCACGCACCTCATCTTCTCCATCAACCTCTTCGGCAGCATCTTCTTCCTCACGTGCATGAGCGTGGACCGCTACCTCTCCATCACCTACTTCACCAGCACCTCGAGCTGCAAGAAGAAGATGGTTCGGCGGGTCGTCTGTGTCCTGGTGTGGCTGCTGGCCTTCTGCGTGTCCCTGCCTGACACCTACTACCTGAAGACTGTCACATCTGCGTCCAACAACGAGACCTACTGCCGGTCCTTCTACCCTGAGCACAGCATCAAGGAGTGGCTCATCGGCATGGAGCTGGTCTCCGTCATCCTGGGCTTTGCCGTCCCTTTCTCCATCATTGCCATCTTTTACTTCCTGCTGGCCAAAGCCATCTCAGCATCCGGCGACCAGGAAAAGCAGAGCAGCCGGAAGATCATCTTCTCCTACGTGGTGGTCTTCCTCGTGTGCTGGCTGCCCTACCACGTCGTGGTGCTCCTGGACATCTTCTCCATCCTGCATTACATCCCCTTCACCTGCCAGCTGGAGAACGCGCTCTTCACGGCGCTGCACGTCACACAGTGCTTGTCATTGGTCCACTGCTGCGTCAACCCCGTGCTGTACAGCTTCATCAACCGCAACTACAGGTACGAGTTGATGAAGGCCTTCATTTTCAAGTACTCAGCCAAAACAGGCCTCACCAAGCTCATTGACGCCTCCAGGGTGTCAGAGACCGAGTACTCGGCGTTGGAGCAAAACACCAAGTGAGCTGCACGGCAGAGGCCTGGGGACGTGTGTGCTTGCAGGGTGCAGGGCATTGGGCTGCCCAGGTTCTGAAGGAGAGAGCAGAGTAGCTCTGGGCTTGGATGCTTGAGTGATGCACAGCAGAGAGGGGTGACTTCCTGTGTCCTTTCTCTCGCCAACGAGGCTGCCACCCAGCTGAGCTGTCTGATGGTTTTGCAGCAGGAAGGAAGCAAGCATGGTGCTCACCGTGCTGTGTGTGAAAGGTGTCTACAGGCCGGGACCACCCGGGCATACCGTAGAACCCCTCTGTGTTCCAGTGGTTTCTTTTTTTATATGGTGACTTGTATTTAAGTTTTGAGACTTTATTTTCCACTATTGCTGTACCTTATAAGTGTATTTGAAGGTTAAAATATATTTTAAATATCATTTGGGAGGTATAATGCAGATGTATCCAAATCATTGTAGTTTTAAAGTTAGTTTGACTTCAGTCTTGACTAAGGATGACAACATTGTTAGCTGATTTGAAATGATATATATATGTGTATATAAAAATAAATATAAGTATATGCCAGTGTTGGCTCAAATGTTCTATTTACGATAGTTTTATATCTGTGGGGATTTTTTTTAACCTGCACAGGATATGGAACGAAAACTGCCCCATAACGCAGTTTGTGATATTCATAGTATTGTAAAGTTATGTTTAAAACCAGACTGTTCCACACTGCAAACCTGTGCCCAAAATGAACAAAGAGTTCGCTCAATTTGTAACTTATTTTTTTTTTTAAATAAAGACTGTTTTGTTTCCTAAAGCAGCGTCTGTCCTGTTTGGAAAGTGTGCTGGGTGGGCGTGGTGATCATATGAGGATACGCAGGCACGCGTGGGCTGGCGGAATAAACCTGTGTGGAGAGGAGAAAGACTGTAAAGCGAATTCCAGGGACTCAGCCTGGTTGAAATGGTGCGAGGGAGAGCAGCAGGGCTCAGTTGTTGTGTAACATGGGTCCCAAGCACCAATGGTTTGGGGAGCGAGATAGTTGGTGGGTGCAGGTGCGGTGAGGCCACCGTGCAGGGGATGTTTGGGCAGAGGATGTGCTGTCTCAGGCTTAGGATGCACGTCCTCATCTGAACACTTGTGCGCTTCCACAATCACGCGTGTTCATCGTGGATGTGGCCCAAGGCCTCCTGCGGATGCCTGGAACCTTGGAAAGAATGGACCTTTGCACATGACCGTTCCTGCACACATGTACCTGTTTTAGTTTATAAATTAGACACGGTGGGAAAACAGTGATAGCTAAAACTAAAATAGAACGTGTTATTTAAAATTGATGAATAATTTCTGGAATTTTCCAGTTAGCATTTTCAGACTGTGGACCAAATCTACAGGAAGTAAAACCATGGACACAGGAGGCCACCCGTTTGGGGTGGCCACACAAGGAGGCACGTCCTGGTCAGCATGTCACCTGATCAACCTGCTTCCTCATTAGGAGTTTGGAAGAGCTCCTGAGCTTAGCTGGCAACTGCCCTCACCCACTGTGCATGGGACCACAGAAAGGATGGTGGCCAGCACACAGGGTACCTGGGCAGGGTCAGAGAAGGGTCGGCTCTCAACAGTGCTCTTTCCACCCCCAACTCAGAAGAGAACCATCTCACCTGAGATCTTGGGAAAGATCTGTGCTACAGGAAAACCCCATGCACTTGGGGTCACCCACAAACCCACAGCTGACAGCCCCAGAAGTCCCCAGGGCCCACAGACCTTCTGGCTGCAGGGCAGCGTCTGTGCCCTGCAAAGGGCTGCACACCAGGCTGCAGCTTAGACTTACACCTGTGCATACCCATCCTTGGGTCAGGACACCTGTACACTGAGACCTCGGATAACAGTGGTGTAGAAAGTGGGGTACTATCCTCACAACAGGCAAAAAGACCAGGACTGGGGAAAGTAGGAAGAGCATCAGAAGCTGCAATGATTAGTACCCAGTGTGTGTTCTTGATAATTGGACTCTGCTCGAGCTCTGAAGGGTCTGGTGATTCAGGGCCAGGCAGAAACACTAACAGTCAGTTCAAGCTAGGGAAGGGTTGTGTGGGGTAAGTCACAGTCTCCAAGCTTCTGTGTGCCATAGATATGCACTCCACATCTATGCACTCCACATGTGACTCCAGCAGAGTCAGTGTAGGACCCCTCATCCTCCTGGAGTTCCAGGCGAGATACTGCCTGGGGCGGGTGGGTATCTGCTACTTGTTGGTCCTCACGCAGGCCTCCTGTGTGGACCCATTTAGAGCAGCCCCAGCTGCTGTCCCTTGCAATGTGAGATGCTGGGGTTCTGGAGGGCCTGCTTCTTTGCTTTCTCATCTCTCTTGCTTGTTGTGGTCACTCAGCTATTCCACAGCAAGGCACATAGAGTTCAGTAGGGCATGAACACTGTGTGGAATCTAGATTCACCAGCCCAAATCTTTTAGGGGGATTTTCCAGTCTCCTTATGGGCCCAGGTACAGTGAGTCCACTGCCTCAAGCCCCTGCAACATCTCTGGAGTCTGCTGTTTTCAGTTTGCAGCCTCTCATCCTCATTCTGGAGATGTTCTAGCAACTAAGTGCTTTCTATTGCTTCTAGAAACCCCCTTCATTGCCCTACCTATACGCCAAGACCTGCTGAGTGGTCCCCAGTTACCTTCAGACTGAGGTCTTCTCTTTTGATTTTTGATTTTGAAAATCTTCTCTTTGATTTTGGCTGAAGCATCCTGTCTTGGAGCAATGGGGTGGGAGAACAGAGGCCCAAGCTGGGGTGCAGAATATACAGCAAGGAGAGGGTGCATCCCTTAGTATGGAAAAACTATGGTTCTATCCTAGGGATGTGGATTTGGAGGAGATGGAAGAGGTGAGTGCATGGTGTAGGTTTGGAGTGGGGCTTGGAGAAAGGGACCAACAGAAGGTCTCTGGTTATCCTGGAGTCTAGAAACCCGAAGGCCTGAAATTCCTCCACCCTAGGCTCATTCTTTAGGCATCTTTCTGGTGGGCAGAGCTTTAAAAGCCCAGCTGGCCTCCTGAGGCGGAGAGGAACATCAGAGAGCATCAGCCTCCAATGGTCTTTGGACCCCAGGAGGGGGCTATCTGAAGCCCAGACATGGGGCAGGACCTTGGAGTGTGCTTTGCTTTTTTAGTGCCACTTTCCAGAGCCTCATGCCACCCTAAGCCCTAGAGTCCTTTCTCATGGGTGAGATGTCATAGCCCTCCAGCCGTTGGTGGCCTGGCTTGAGGTATAAGCAACTTTTTCTCTTCTACCCCAGGATCCTATCCTACAAGTGAAGAAGGATGTACCCTGGGGGATGCTGGAAGTGGGATCCTCTGAGCACCAGGGACTCAGATCCACAAGCCACTGCTGGCCTTTGGGGCTCTGAGCAGCCTCGTAGTGTGCTCACATCTGACAGGCAACTGCAAACACTGCACTTTGACTTGGCTTCTCTGGATCAGTTTGAGGGGCAGCTGCTCAGGGGTGCAACCTGCTTTTCAAGAATAGGGAATTTTGCCTTATTTGGCTTCTTCCCTGGGGACGCTGGCTGTAATTATTGGATTCAGGAGACTTCCTGTCTCAGCAAGCACAGGTTTCTCAAAGCTCAGGGGGCACACGTGGAGCTGTAAACCAGCTGGGAAGACCCATTGAGAGCAGCCGGGCTCCCATGGGTGCCTCCTGGAGGGCCACATTTAGCTTCTGAGCCCTAGGGGTGTTTACTGATGTTTATCTGTTAGCTTTTAGTCCTTTGAGGGAGAAGGCTCCAGGTGGGGTGGAGCAGATCAGCCCATATTATAAACCACTCATCCTGGATCACCCATCCAGGTAGTGCACAGCTCTGTAGGACCTGCCTGGACCCTGCTGGCTCAAGATGCTTGGTGCTGCAACTGAACTGAGCAGGGTCTCGTGGGGAACCCGCTCACCTGCACACGATCAAGGTCTGCCATGCTTATGGGCTTTGGGGAAGGCTGAACTGAGCTGGCTCCTGTGCCAGCCCTTCTAAGACAGTGTGCTCGTCTCATGCCAGTCACATGCATTGCACAGACATGCACATCCCAGACTCACTACCACTGCATAGTTAACACGCACAAATGGAGGTCATGTCTGGGATGGTCTTGGGGATCACCAGGACCTGCAGATTGAGGGCTGCTGTCTAGGTGGCTCGGGCCTTGGGGTGTAGCCCAAGGAGCTGTCACTGTCTTCTCCTACCCTGTCCTGCCCTGCCCTGCCCTGTTCTGTCCAGGAAATGGGGAAACACTTTGGCTGTGCTAAACCTCAGTTTCTGATAGTTTTTGGTCTATAGAACCACTTCAAGGTGCAAATGCTCCCATACCAGCAGCGGGCTTATCTGGCACCCTGGGCTCACTTTGTGTTGATCAAGTGTGGCAGCTATGTCTCCCTGGACTCTCAGGGCAGAGTCTGAATTCTTCAGAACAAACAATGCATTCCAGAGCAACAGGGTAGGCAGTAGGAGTACCTGCCTCTGGGTGGGGAGTAATAAGCCTGGCACACTGCCCCAGACAGAGGTCCTAGCCTGGGGTGACTTGGCCCCATGAGAGAGTTGACAATGTGTGGAGGGAGTCATTTATGGTTGTCACAACTTAGGGTGGGGGTGGGTGCAACTGGCGTCTACTGGGTGGAGGCCACAGCACAAGACCATCCTTCATCAAAGTGTTACTGGTCCTCAGGCATCAAACTAGTTGAGGTGGAGACACCTTGACCTGGGATAAACCCGGAAGACTAGGTGTGGTGGTGCACACCTGTGATCCCAGCACTCCGGAAGGCTGAGGCAGCAGGATAGCTAATGAGGGCCCAGCCTGGGCCATGGAATGACTTGGCAATACCCCATCTCGAATAAAATACAAAAAAGGGCTGGGGATGCTGCTCAGTGTGAAGATCCTGGGTTCAGTGTTCAGTATTACACACATGTTTGTGCACACACATGCACACACACATATACAACTCAAGGCTTCTGGATGCTAGTCATGGCCTGAGCAGGGTGCTTCGACAATCCTAGGGTACCCGGAAACAGTACCCAAGTGTCCAAGAGGCTCCTCCAGGTTCTGCTCCTCCTTTTCTTCCCCTCAGCTCTGCAGGGCTCGAGCTGGCTAACTGGGGCGTTGTGTGCAGCCAGTCCATGTGCAGGGCCATGCGGATGTTTCCACTGTGCCTGGAGGCATTGCAGATACATGAGTCTGATGCAGCTGCAGTTTATATAAAAGTTGTACTTGTGGAAAAGGAGTGGAAAACTCCTGAACTTGTGAAATTTGCCGAGTGTGCACATAAATTAAATGCTAGTAGACATGTAATGCGCACTGAGGATATTCAAACATCATGTTAATATTTAAAATATCTCATTCAATATATCCCACCGCCGTGGACAGGTCGGCACCGAGCCAGGGTGCTAGATCCAATGCTTCTCATTAGTTCAGGAAGGTTGGCAATATTTCTTCTGTGAGTCTCTGTCTCCTCACCCTCAAATCTACTGTCCCACAATCACTGAAGGGCCACTGCAAAGGTAAAGAAATAGCATGGGTGCAGATCAATGTGGTTAAGTGAACCGATAAAAGAATGATCCTGACATGATTTGAAGCCCAAATAGGGTGCATAAATGTTTACAAAAATCTACCATGTCCCCTTCTCCCATCACTCCGTGTTTAACTGATGTGTTGTTGGTGACACCGTCACTTTCCAGGTTTGTTGATGTCTCCACGTGCCATCATCTGCTCCCCTGGGTTTGGCCACAAGACACCATCTGTGTGACCTTGCCTGCTTTTCCCAAGGGCATGCCCTCCAACCTCCGAGATTA